TCCCCACTGAGCGGTATCTTTTTTGCATTCGCAAAAAGCCTAGTAAGGTGGTCGGTCGCTTCCGCAGAATCATCCTTCATTGACGTATCCTTCGTTGTATCCTTCTTGCCACTGAAAGCGGATTAATCTTGATGACATGAACTAGAATCTATTGAATTATGTTAAAAATCACCTTTCCGACGCTCGCACTCTTTCTTTTTCATCCGCAGAAGCTCGCGAAGACCGCATTCCCCAACAGCGTGAGCTATTCTTTACCTCAATGATACTACCTTTCCGTTCTGCATTCGGTATGTCATAACGATCGAATCCTGATCGTACTGCACGTCGTCGCTCCTGGAACAGCGGAACTTATTTATCTATTGTATATGCCTGTCTCTTATGTAGACTTACAGCCTTTCGTTGAGCCTTAGCATCCATTTCTTTGATAATATATTGCGTTAGCGGAGTGGGTTGGACGGCAGATGCTAGAAAAGACTTTATAGACTTTTCTTTAGCTGCACCAGTGAACTTGTAACAACTGATGAAATTCTTAACTTATAACCCTGCACAATATCCTGAACACAAAACCGAAACGTAAATCTTTGGATGTAAAATGGCTTTAAAACCTTCACTGAAAGAAACAAGAATAGAAATAAATGAATAAAACTCATTTGACGCGGTATTCACAAACATAGGGAAGTCTGAAAACAAATATTCTATTGCTGTTTATATTCAAGAACAAACGACACTATGGGAGTTGCCCTGTCACCTTCGAAGAATTGAGACATTCAACCGGTTATTATAAAGTTTTCATAATCATAACAATATTGAGTCAGACTATAACCTTAAATGCATTAAGCAAAAAGCACCTTTTGCGTCTGTCCGCAGTTGCTGAGCATGCAATAACTGCTCATCCAGCGATAGTCGGGCCATTTCGTATTCGACTTCCAAGTCATGCATGAACTGCTTGTACTCGACTTCTGCAAATGCAGAGTATGAATTATGCTAAACAGCTGCCAACTTTGCTCTAGTGGCAATGCCAGCACCGTTTTCTATTGTGCCACACTTCGGATCCTTGGACACATCACTTCGAGGCTTACGCGGTATACGATCATTCGCAGTCAGTTCGACAACGGCGATGGAGTGATTCCCTTTAATGCGTAATACTAGGCAATCAAATATTAGAATTTGAAGGGGATTTGAGAATTGAGCAAAAGGGAATTTGAGAAATACACTCAGGTACCATTGGAGTCAACAAAACGATAACCATTCCATCGTCGACTAAATTCCAAGACTTCCGAATTTTTGGCGAAAGTGAAGTAACATCGACTGAAGGCATACGGTTCCATCCTTAACTTTCAGGATACTTTCAAGCGTTACAACCACTTTAAAATAACATCACACCGATGTCTTTGAAAAAGATACAACTGATAATTTGAATTGGCATTCAGGGGAAATAATTAAAGTAAAAAAAACTTAGACAAGATCGCTCACTCTTTGTCTGCAGGGACAAAGTAGGTGTAGAGTGATGGTGGTATTTGCCCAAGCTTCGCCATCAGTTCATTCTGCGTCATGTCGCGTGGCAGCCTCCTCAGGACAACCTAAAGAATTATAATTTACCAGATAATCCATATCTTGCATTACAAACTAACGTCCGCAAGTCAGAGGAAGGAGAAGAGTAACTCCATCCCAGGCAAGAAAATGAAAGACTTTAATGAGAAATGGTACTCTCGGTGAAGGAATATTTTATTCGCATTAGTGATGTAGCAACTTAGAAGCAACAATGAAACCCTGAACTTATTTTGAGAGTCAGTTCCATACGAAACCCCCTGAGATGATGTGAGAAATTAGTCGGCCGGAGAGTCAATATGTAGCACAGCCGCAGGCCCTAAAGTAACCCTGCAAGAACAAAGATGATGCTCTGACAAGACCGCTCTCCTAGATGAGGGTTAATATAAAGAATCGTGAATATTTTCAGGAAAAGATATTCAAAAACGGTCACTTATCGCTGTGAGTTTTCAGCAATTCCNTTTTTTTATCGAAGATATAACTAATGTATAACTAATGTGGAATGAATCGAAAGGGAATTAAGGGCAAAAACAGCTTTCGACAGAACTCTTCATGGTATAATGAAAATATGGAATGTCATGTAACTCCGCTTACGCTACAATTTCTCCTCTTCGCCAACGACCTCAACATGAATCGAATGACTCGAGAATCAGAAACAGTGGGTAGCCCGGAATTGGACCCCACTCGTTAGAACACATGCAACATGATTTACATCCTCTCCTTTCCTTTATAGCATTTCCTTTCTTGTTCTATTTGGTTGCACCAGAACTAACAATTATACTATTCGAGATTTTTACCTCTTCTACCACCGATGGGAGAAGAGATGCCGTCCGTTACATCAACACCGGTCTTACATTCTTGGAATTGGTATTTGCTAGATTGAGTGCCATTCTAGGGAACGAAACTTAAGAGAACTTACCTTCGACCCTTTTTGAGCGCCTGCTCTTTCCTTTTCTGCCGCGCACATGGGAGTCTGTTGTATTTTCCGTCAATACAGCGAGCCGAAAGTCCGTCAAAAGAATACAACGTTAATATTATCAAACCTGAACTGTAAGAAAAAGTCGATCTTATAATCAGACTGAAAATCTATGGACACAACCGCTCGACGTACAAAGTATCCTATCCTTNAGTTATCCTTTATTACGTCCACATAGCATGCATGCATCAAGAAAAAATGAGGAATGAGTCTCGATTTAACACAGACAAACAACAACACAGCATTTCATACTAGTAACACAACAATGACACATATGTTGCAATAAATCAACATTGGTTACACACATACTACAATAAACCATAAATAATGAATCAACATTCATGAAAACAACGAAGTTACAAGCATCTATGATTTAATGGAGAACTTCTGAAGTATCTACCATTGTTGTCTTCGCGGTGGATACGGACGGTAAGGTCTTGCATGACCTCTTCCCCAACCAACGTTTCTCATTGGACCACCGCCACCTTCTCCATTATTCCAGCTGCCTCTGTTTCCGCGGCCACCATAAGGGCCACCACCATATCCGCCACGTCCACCTTCTGTATTTCTCCACTCGTCGTTGCCTCTGCGGCCACCTCTCCACTCACCGCGACGCTGATCTGAAGCATAAAAAGTGAAATAAAACAGTTGAACGCAAGTCAGCCAATTTTATAAAATNTCATCATTACATTGCATGGAAGGTAGCCTAGAACAGAACACTGGATGTAAGTACTAAATTCTCATGAAGCCGCATAACGAGCGGAAACCTATACATAACCGTTCCTAAAGCGACATCTGCATTGGGGACACTCAAATCCCTTTGGAACAAATCAGCAAAGACAGTTCGGTTTCGGATTTGCATTGAATCCGGGCACAGTGAAAATTTATGAAGCCTCGAAACGCAAAAATAGCCAGCATCGTTCGCGTTACCAAAATCAAAACAACTCACTTGCATAGTTCATTACCCACGCGACCATAATGATCACCCGCTATGTCGAACACTCCCCTTCCGTATTTGATCTGATGAAATCGTCAATACTTAGATACAACCTATCCTTTTCTCATTCTTTTTGTACCCGGAACAGCCGGCTTGCGATATGTATACAGATGTTGCCATCAAGCACATCTTCTTTGCGTCCATTCCCCCAGCTATGATTCGACCACTGATCCTGGTGACGCTTGAAGAGACAGTTCGGAGACAGTTCTTCAAGGACTCCATCCCTTCTTTAGCCACATCGTTTCGCTGGGTATCAATTCCGCCGTAGTAGAGCTTGACGCCCGTCACAATCCAACTGGTCTACGCCTTTCTCCAGCGTGTGTCTTTTAGGCTTGAAACTTTGATGTTTTTTCGCTTCATGAGATCAGCGACTTCTCGGGATTCCTCAGTGGGCAATACGACGCTTAGAGTCCCAATTCGTACATTGTTGGTCGAAGTCGCTCAACCCACGGTGGCCCTCGCGTACTACACACAGTACTCGGGCGGAGGTCCTGCTAGGGACGCCAGGGAAGCAGCACAAAGTCGAGTCTCCGCAAACTGAGAATTTATTTTAATACGGCATTTCCGCGGAAACGAATACGCACATATAGAGCCCCTTGACTCGAAAAAGTTGTCGCTAGTTACAAGGTACATTCAAATACATAGGCGAATGTGTAGAAAATTGTTTAAATCATTTGTAAAGGGGACCGATTTTGACTTGAACTGAAATATTAAGAAAAATTCACTAGAATCAATGGATTTTCATCCATCAGAAGGGTTTGTTGTCTGTTAAGGTACATGATTTTAGAGATAGTAAAGCGGCATGACTCGACTGCATCTCAAGAATGACGGCGAAAAAGAATTCACGGCCGTATGTAACAAAAAATACTCATGTGCATGGAGTTCTACTAAAGATTTCATGTAACAATCAGTTTAACTTGGAACGTCCTCTTATCCGAGCTAGCGTTGGAGCTGTAACTACTAGCCCATCGAAAAGAATCCCTTCTCCCGTTCCCCACCTCTTGCACATATAATCGAGGTAAACGGTAAACCGAATTCAGTTAAGTACCCACACAGATATGTAATACTGAAACTGACTCTTGCCCCGGATAGTTTTCCTTCCCAACCCAACTAGTTTATCACCACAAGTGTCGCCGCGAGATCCGCGCCAACCTTTGAGGAATCATTACGGGAGCAGTCTGCAAAGGCGCGATGTTATCTGAATGGAACAGAACGGCACTACTACCGGTAAGTGCGACTATGCCACTCACAACAGAAAGGATAATGTGGTTGCGTCCATGAAAACTTGAATGATCCTAGATGGTAAGCCATGATGATATGGTGCGCTACATTGTCTGAACCCTTTCGAACAAGCAAATGACCATTCAAACCAAGTGATTTGTGTTGGAGTAAAAAGACAGGTTTCAAACAATATCTCGTGTGCATACCTGTGCCTCTAAAACTTCCGCCACGCCCTCGTCCCGCTGTAATCGGCTGTACCTAAAATAATTTCCACATCTTATTAAACAGCACGACCACAAACAAAGTGAAATTATCAAACAGCACAGAATTTAGCAAAATTATTAGTTTTTCCTGAGATTGCAGTTTTAACACTTGAACAAATGTATCCCAGAATCTAGAAAAAAAANAAAAAAAACGTGCCAGAGCGGCGTCCGTTAGCAGATCGTCTTTCAAAGGCCCTCCTCCAGCGTAGAACTCGCGAGAAGATAGTTCTCGCAATAGTGAGCACAACTCCCGATCTAAACGAAATCAAAAATCTAGTTCGCTCAATACTGCTGGGACTCCGTGACCAGAATCATAGTGAGATTTAAGTTACAGGTATATTTGTGTTAACTCGACAGAAGAACTTCAAACAAATGTTGCCAAGAAAAGTGACGCCTTTCATGCTTTTCGCGCTGAAGATGAAATAGTGACGTACACGATTTCAGTCAAATTGAACGGTCTTTGAGGAAGAATGTTATAGCTCCCATTGATGAAACTAACCTTCGTCAGTCGATGCCATCAGCGATTCTGGATTTATACATGACCGGACAAGCATGGCTTCGATGCAAGGTCGTAAAGCCACTATAGCCGCAGCTAATGATACATCCATTTTGAGGGTAATCCTGAATGTGAACTTTCACTTTTAATTTTACTATTATTTTTGTATAAATTTCATCGAAAGATGACATTCAGGTACGGCACCTCCGGAACTATCTTATTTCAGCGGAGAATATGATATCATAGCTAAGAATATGCAAACCTATCTCAAAGAACTGTATCTNTAAATCTAGCGCGTTTCTATTTGCGTGATCGTAAATTACAAATATTCATACTACGGCTGAATGTTAAAACAAAATATATAAATATAAAACTTAAGCAGAGTAAACATCTTGTGCATAACTACATCCTTCCAGTCCCAAAAGTGCTTTAATTTGAGTACTGAAAATTGCATGGAATCCGTTTACAAACCGATTTGCACCTACAGTAGCGCTCGAAAGTATTCGGCCAAATGCTTCTTCAGTCGTAATTCAGTAGTAGTTGCTTTCCTACTGGATCTAATCATGCGAATTTCAATATGTGTAGGGGAAGTGTAGGGATTTTCCACTATTAACACTCAATCTGATCATGTTCCAAATTTCCCAAATAGCTCGAAATCAAAACCAACTAGATATACAGATATTGGCGCTTCTAGGGCTTCCTCCCTTTTTGCCATGTCCTAAGTGTACCAGCACTAAGATCGAACAAGTAGAGGAGAAAACCGCAAGGTGCGAATAACTGCGGATGTCACAAACTTGCTTTCAGCAAAGCATAGTGTGAAATGCTTCACTTGAAAATATCAAAATTCCATGCGATTTGCCCCATTGAGAAAAGTTATGGCTGAAAAACTGCTNNNCCGAACACCTTTGAGCGCTACTGTATGTAGCGGCATAGTCATCCCTTGTCCACGACTTGACTAATTTTCAATCGGAAGATAGCGAAGCACTTCCAACAACTATCAGCATGACCAATATCCAAAAACTAATCGTCGCTTAAGGCGGCTGTAGGGTTATTTGCTACTCCTCCAATGATTGCTTTTGAAAAATCGGATTTCCGTGAGCGGTGCTAAATCTGAGGCTCATGTTGGCAACTGAGAAATCAAACCCTTACGAACTCAGCGATCACAACCTATGCATGCAATACCAACACGAACTGGCGGCGCTTTTGCAATGTGCCCTTTCTACTGCACTTTTAACTACATTTTAGCAATTAGGAATATCTGAAAGAATGACAATGAAGAAAAGTACTCACATATCGTCAAGCCGTACGAGGTCCTGCCCAACACACTCGACTTTACGGCAACCAAATAGCAGTAACTGAACGCCCGAAATCACCGATAACTGATTGCAAGAAATAACGCGAGTACGAATCTGAACGTCTCGTTAAGCAGCGCAATTTCCACGTGCGAAAACTCGCAGAAACATCACTAAATTCTAAAATACCTTTTCCGTGAAAACGATCAAAGGAGATGGCAATTCAAAGTTATCTCCCTGGAACGGCGTCAAAACGGAAGATTTACTTATGAGCGCTGAGGCCTGCTCAAGAGTGAACACCTGAAAAACATAAAAAACATGATGTTGTACAAGGAAAAAAGAACAAGGTGTATCAATCCCAGTTACGTATGACTAACATTGATAGGTGTCGCGTACTAACTTGGGTGCGTCATTCAACAATAGCGACTATTTTCGATCAGTGAACGGTGAAATTAGCTCTATGATATTCCAATGTCCATGACTACATTGATGGGGAACGTCCGTTCCGCGCGTCCGCCGAAAGAGGTCATCCCGCCAATGTCGCACGCGGCGCATCCCACTGGGCGCATTCAATCTAGGTGCCAGGGACGGCACCTGACGCCGTAGACCGGTGCCGTTCCCGGCGTCCATGGCACCTAGTATCGCTGCTTTCAGACTTCGGCGTCCGTCCGTCCGTCCGTTCAACGCGTGCCGCGACCGCAGTTCTAGAAAGGTGTTAACATCGCTGGCTCGTGATCTAGTTTGTCAACACTTTTCTAGAGCCGCTGTCGCGATGCAGGCGACTGCCGTCGCAGCATGCGTTGAACGGACGGACAAACGGACGTCGAAGTCCAAAATCGGCCTATGAATGCGCCGCTGAGGTCTTGAGATGACATTACAGTACACCAAGGGTCAGTGTAGTGAAAGAATTGCATTATTCCGTATTATCTTCTTTTTGAGCTGACTGCCTTGGACCAAACGCAAATCGCATGCCCCACTGGCAACAGCGACATCCGTCAAGTACCGTGGGCTGACACGACGCATGCGACGGCCACGGCGTGACCAGTTTCGATGGATGCGCGGAACGAAGCGCACCCTTCATTCACACACTCAATGTCACAGTATATGATCCAAGAAAATGAAGAATGACATAATAGAATAATTCAAGACTAAGAAAGATCTATTCCTTATTTTTCTCACAATTTCCGTTTATCCAGAGCAGTTTCTCTAGTCAAGCCTCTGCATATGTGATTATTATTTCATTGAACTGATTATATCAATCGGCATCTCCATTCACTAGGCCCTATCCTGTCCTGGCCCTCACAAAATTATTGAAAAATTTTACTTTGGCACCGCACCTTTCGCTACACACTCGTAATCCATAAGTATTCGACTTCCCTCTCACCTGGTCAACTACTGAAGCTTACTGAATTTCTCAATGGATTCCACTCACTTTTCGTTTTCCTCTATAATAACAAATATTGGGATAGTAAGCAGCAATGAGCAGCGACAGCAGCAAATCATAATCACTTTCGTTCGCATAAGCTCCATCTACGAATAATTCACCAGCAAAACCGCACTGATTGGTAAGAACGTCTATTAGTTGATATTTTGCTCCTCTGAAAATGGAATTATATGAAAGTTGTGGATAAAAAGGTAAAAATGGGGCACACAAAGTCTAGAAATGAAAGCTGAAAAATAAGTGAATTTAAGGAATATAAGGAAGAGAGGTCATTTGTAACGGAAATTCACTATGATAAAACAAACTCCTTCTAATACACTGATTTCGACTTCAAACTTTTCGTAACAACTCTCTGGACAAGATCGTTGAAAAGGATCATCTGTTTGCTTCTTGCCTCTTCGATGTTCCCACGTGAATTTCAGTGATTAGCTTATCTTCGGTAACCCTTAAATTTTTTGCAAGGTTTGCAGGGCCCCTTAGCGTAGAACTCCGGATTCAGAAGCAAAGGATGCCCGAAGGTCTTTTCAAGGTAGTTGCAATAATCACAGCGTTTCTATTCCAGGCAATTCTGAAGCGATCGGAAGAGGTAGCAGCCTTTCTGGACTGGCTCGGGCCACACGGTTGGCACAACAAAACTTTCCGTCGGAGTTCTAGAATTTTGTGGGAAGCTTTTTGAGATGTGAGGGCGCGCATTATCGCGCAGCGAGCGAACCTTATCCGGTTCAGATGCTCCTAGCAGATCTTGTCGTGATCTTTGCATATGAAAGTAGAAGACCTCGACATGCCCGTCTGTAACTCCAAGATTCCATGAAATTCCCACAAAAATCGAGCATAACCTTACATTCATGGATGCCACACATTAGAATTTTGAAAAAATCAGCANTTTTTCTTCGCTGACAATTCGCGTTCGCTCGCGGATGTGGTCGGGGTATAGGAGCTACTTTCCACATTGAATTACGCAAGCGGAGACATTTATTTCACCATTCGTCCTTCTGGCAAGACATTGTATCCAATGAACCCAGCATGCCAGACTTCACAAAAATGGTCACTAAAAATCGCACGACGTGTTCGCCCCACCTGATCTTCGATACTTCGGTGTAAGCAATGGCACCCCTGATTTTCGTTCGCTGGTGAAGCTCGGAACTATTGTTCTCCTTCGGACTTGCGTTCACCGGGAAGAATTGTCCCTTCCACAGCGCTCTGGATGACGCTGACCACATGCTCATCGTGCTTGCGTGAAGTCCATGTGTTGTTCCCAAAGTGTAATTAAAAGCAGAAAGCGCCGCTGTGTCAAAATGGTAAGCACGAAACCGAATGTTTTTTGTCTTCTTCGCTTTCTCCCGATCACCTCAAATACTCCTCACGCGGCTCTTTTCCTTTTGCTCGGCTCCGACGCTTCTTTCATCATGATATCATCTTTATCTAGACACCCGTAATCGGAGCAGGGCATCATGCCATGTCTCTGAATGCTTTAGCTGCGTGTATCTGGGTATGGCTGGTATTATCTGGGAGCACCAGAGGTACGAATCCGTGTCTCATGAACATCGCCTTCATTAAGTTCAGTCTTGTACCGATCTCACCAGAAGCGCTGTCTAATTCGGCCAGCATTCGCTCCGCCTGCTCGATTTTCGGCGCCATAGGCGCGATGGGGAGATGATGTAATTAAGGGCCGCCGATCATCTCTTCCAAGTATTCCTATTTCAAACGGGGTATTGTTTACTCGAGAGCGATCCATTGTTTACTCGAGAGCATCAATGAAAAGCTTGGTCGAGATGGTATCGCTTCGCCAGCCCATCTTTTTCACCCTGTTAATGACTTCTTTGTGAAACGACGATATCCAGATGAAGAAGTTGCTTTAAGGAAAAACATGTCACTTTTATGCATTGGGGAAGAAGGATGCTAAAATGGCTTCCAACAACACAACCAAGTGGAGAATTGCGAGACTTTGAAAAGGTATGGGCTTCCCATTTTTTGAAATATGTTTCAGTTAGATCGAAATAACGGGCTTCCCTGCGACTCGAAAGAACGCCCCAGAAAAATTATGATAGCATCACGAATGCAGTAAAGCAATTGATACTCACGCGCTCATCTTCAAAATTGTCTGACTCAGAGAGACACGGTTACAAAGTGAAGTTTCCGCTTGCGCTCCCATTTCCGAAGCGTGCTGGAAGGCGTGATTGACAGCAATCTGAAACTTTCAGCAGGTAGCTCTCTATACAAGCAATCTCTTCAGCGTTTAAAAAAGCCAGGATCACGATCACTGAGTTACGATTGAGATGAATTCCATCCTCCAGCACCTTTTACTATTACTGCAATGGTCTCCCATAACCTTTGAAGGATATCCGGATGTAATACTCCGTTAGTTAAAAACATACCAAAGCATAGTGATCCGACCAGCGATCACCAGCGAATGAACGTTGTGCAGAGTTCAATCTGGTGTGATTTCTTTCACGAGGTACAAATGGCGATGAAAACGAAGATGATGCTGCGATATCACACATAAGTGTGCCAACCCTTAAAAATACTCAAATGTCATGTTTCAAAGCCCAGGTCCACTTGAAACCAACAAATTTAAATTACGAACCCAAACGCTACACCCATAACTATCGTTTTACCCAATAGTGGTTCGATGGGGAGACGTGCGAGAATCCGTCCAAGATCCGTGAGTTCCAAATGACGATCCAAAGCTCCCATATCTAAAAAAAGCACACGCTGTTCGAGAGTATTCGAAAAAAGAGTACCATGAATTCAGGAAACACTTAATTTGGAGCACAGCCTCGCTTTCTACGACCATATCGTATGGTGGCGGTTCAATAGCCTTAGCGAGGAAGTCGCCAACACTTCCAAGACGAAGCAGCTTGATGGTCAAAGCAATTTCATGTAAAGGAGTACGCAGAATTTCAGCAGTACGGTGCTCCTCTAACCTGCAATCTATAGATTATATCTGAGCATTGGAAACACAGCTTTTGCATGCAAAACTGCGGATAAAATGTTATGTTTCATTAATGTAAGTATGCCCTGCAATTTTTCAATGCTTCGGTTGCCATGCCCTAAAGAGAATGCAATGTTCATCACCGTTTCCTTGTGGGTACGAAACCATACGTTCATGTCGGTATTTTGAGGGCATTTATTATTATTTGTTCGTTATTCGGATCTCTTTGCTTATTTGATGCGTCTTCCCAAGAAAAATCTTCTCGAAGCAATGGAAATGCGATCTTTTATTCTTATCTATCCGTCGGTAACATGAATCGATGTAACTACTGGGTTTCGTTCTCGCCTAACATCTGTTCGATGATACGCTCTATTGTGACGTACGCGCTAGAGTGCGAAGCCCAACTTGTGAACTATTAAGAAATTAAGTAGTAAAGCTTTGCAGGCAGATATATGATTTCACTCCATCTCGTGTCATGATCTGTTGAATGGTCTTTTGAAGACCCTGTAGCAGTCTAACAGAATCACATTGCGCTTCAGCAACACTCTCGGAACCCTTTCGGTCACAAATACCGTCGCTAAATTCGTTACTACAACTTTCTAGTTTTTGAACATTGCCCGCGTGACCTATTATCGCCTTCTGATCCAACAAGGACTTCACAATCTTCACCTCTGGACTGTGAGAACGAGCAACGAACTGCGAACGGTTAACTGCCTAATTCAAATGTCGTGAGAATTCAGCGATGAAGACCTTGGTATAATTATCGTGACATTCTTATTTCCCTCTATCTAACAAAAGGAAGAAGTTGTAAATATTAAATCGGTAAGAACTTGCCCCTAAGAAATTCTCTACTTTAGTGAACTTTCACCGCGGTTCTACGCATCGCTACCTAAATTACCTGGCAAAACAACTATTGATGCCACTATTGTAATCTTATAGAAAACACAGCCACGTNAAATGATAGAAAATCAGGGTGGCCTTACATATACGTAAAGGAACTACAAAAACAGCAGACTACAAGTGACAAATAGTTCATAAGCAAAAACTTACGCCTCGAAACGTGCTTTGCTGCACAAGTGAAAAGCAAAGCCGGGACGTACACGACCAGCACGACCACGCCGTTGCGCCAAATTGGTGCGCGATGCCCACACAGTCGCAAAATGGACCATATTATTATTAGATGTGTACATGCGCTCTTTAGCTCTGCAAAAAGGATTACTCTCACTGGTGAGAAGAACTATTCGCATAAGTCACAATGTAAAAACTAAATAATTGACTAAAGGTAAGCTTTTTGCTCACATTTACCCAGGTTTCTATTATTGTAAGTGATACTAAAAAATCCAAGCAATAATGAAAAACTAGTGGAAGAAATTCAACAAAGTATGTTTGACATCTTCGCATTTTTAGCCATCATATCTTCAACAAACAAAGGATTGCTCGCACTTTTCACTCCTCACATATTTAAAAACCGGTAGGTAGCAAGGTTATATAATAACGAGTGCACTTACTTGCATGAGTCGATAACAAAGACAACATCATCAATGGTTATGCTTGTTTCAGCGATGTTCGTCGCCAGTATAATCTGAAAAAACCATTACTGAAGTCCCTAAAGGCACAGATTGGTACATGGGTTCAGGACTACTTCGAAACTATGATTTGTGAGTCAAAGACACAGTTCCGAAAATATACGGCGTTTACTTCAGAGGGAGACAGACGTAGTGTCAAGAGCCACACTGTCACACACGCATGTTGATAATCGCTCAGGCCAGCAAAGCCTTACATCCCTCCGGAGTCGGTTAATTGGTTCTAGACTCGGTTAGGAGGATAAAAACACTAACTTGTACATAGGCTGGCCATCAAGTCATTGTGTTGGCCATATACGCATTCATTATGCCACTACAATTCTGAATGGGATTCGGACGNNCGGGGGCGCATACCTCAAGGGGATTAAGGCCAGAAAACTTCAAAAGTTTGATTTAAGGAGAATAACCCATAAATGAAAACTTTTACGAGAAAAAATAGCCTCCATGCCATGAGTCAACCTTCCTTTAAAATTCGTCCGGGAAAGAATAAGTTTTTCCAGACAAAATTTCTAAGGAGAAGTTACGGTATGGGTGGCTATTTATTCTCGTAAACTTCTCGCTTCACCTTTCTCATGCTGTCTCCGTAATGATCGAAAACCTTCCGCTGCTCTGCGCCAGTCAACTGTGAGTGGAGTGGCAAAATCACATACTTTGATTTATTCGCTAAAACATTAAGGATGTCATTTTATTGTACTAAAAGGAGTCCCAGAAATAAACTAACTCAAAACTCACAAAATTCGGAATGAGCATTGAGAAAATTCATGACGAGCATGATTTCGTTCCATCCAGGCAAAAAAATCAACACTGATCCTGATTCTCCACGTTGAGCGATATCATTCAGAATGGCCTGAAAAGCGTTAGCCAAAAGTTCTTCAGAAAGTAAATGTTTTACTGCATGATTTGCTTTTAGGTATCTTCGGCATTACTTCCAGCAAATTAACGAGACAGTCATTACAGAGGACACTGAACTACAAAAAAGTCGAAAACAAATCAGCGTTTTGAAAACGAGGGACAACCATTGCTGTTATAGAGCTACCATCGTCATAAGCAAGCTGTCGCAAAATAATTCCCTTTGAACTCACTTCGAAACGCAACACGTTATTCGACTTTGTGTAAGCTGAATGCGAAGGTACAATAACAAATTAAATATATTGCTACTAAGGCATTGAAAGAGTCAAGGTTTTTATCACAGATTTAAACAGTCACGTCCTTTTTTCCCAGAGGAATATAATATCATCTGAAGATTAGACAGTTTTCGTATTGAAATGTTTTGATCACTACTCAACAAGTCTTTCCACTTCTTACCTCGGGTATAGAAAACCTATTTTCAATTTCCTCCTCGCCAGCAACCCTTCAGAAAACTCACTTTTCAAAGGTAAAATAATATGGGTGTGTGGATTCATAGCGGAAGCTGAACAGTTCTAATAACACTATAAGCACAACCCAAACATGGAGTGTTCCGTTCACAGAAGTCAATGGAAGTCAGTGTAAAAGCTCTGATGGATTTCCAAGAGTGGAGGCTATCTTTAAATTAAAAAGGAAAAGACCTATTTTTGCCATCAAAATCTCAGCATATTTAGACACTGTTTGATCATCCAAATCGAAATTACTACATAAAGCTGTTGGCCGTTGTTATGTCTGTGAACTTGATCTAAGAAATGAAATACTTCTTTGAACTACCTACCTGAACAATTAGTAACATCATCGTATGAGGCAATATGGCAACTTATGACCACTGATGGCTCACTGAAATCAGATGAAATGGTTGGTTCTTTTTTAGGATTAAATGAACCGCTAAATCCGTCGTAAGCTGATAAACAACATTATTTGCTTGCAGTTAAAAGTGCAGCAATTTGTAGGTTTCATAGAAAACTACACATGTTGGTTAATTCAAAAGCTCAGATACAATTTCGATGCCTCACTTTGAATAGAACTCCTTCACTCTTATCTGTGTTCGGCAGAAAAGAGAATTTTAGATTGCGGTCATACAAGACATTGTCATGGTCCACGATCTACTATCGATAGTGAACCAATACTAGAACCAACCATTCCATCTGCCCTACAAACAGGCACTAATTTTAACTTTCATCTTATTACTTGAATTATTGGAATTTCGAACGGAGTCGCTGTACTTTTTAGAGATGAGTTGGCTCACTCTTAATGCTTCACTTGTATTATAAATCAGAAGAAAAAAAGAAAAAAAGAATGAGTTAAAAGTACGTCCACAAGGAAATAATCGCAAGACAACGATGATATGCATGGTTAAAACGCGACAGCTCATAATGTATATATATAAAATAAAATTTTTATATATTTGTATAAACCCAGTGACGATCGCGTAGTCCGCTGGCTAGCCATGGCAGCAATTTAGTTGGCTGTCGACTACTTTACATTTTATGAAGTTTTCATGATCTATTAAGTAGAAGACATTGCAGGCACAAAGCGGTTCGAGGACTTCACTTCTAACTTTTTCCAGCAACCACAACAAAGGCTCTTGCATTCAATTCGCTCTATATCACAGGAATGATATGAACGCAGGCAAATATCACCTTATCAAAGTACTACCTAAATAGCCACACACCTTTTTTTGATAATCATGGAAATGCGAAAATATTTGTAGTACTTTGCGCACGTTGTAACTTTTATCGGAGTGTTCGGGCCCGTTTCTCCCCTCTTACTTTACTGCTACAACTCTTTGGACTGCTACCTCCACTTTTCAACTTGTGGGCAAATCTTGGGAGAAGAGCATCAATCAGCCTTTAAGTAATGAATTCACAACTGTCATCTCGCTTTCGATAACATAAACCCATGCCCATGTTCCGCTCGTGATGAAAATTTAAGGAAAGTTGGGAAACGTTTTGACAGGAGCACGCCAAAAGCGATGGCGCGGTCGTCAATGGGTTAAGTCTATCCAATAGATGCAATAGTTTCGATACATTTGCGACAAACATAATAGGCATTGGCAAGCGCTGGCTACTGGCTACTTGTAAGAAGTGAACAGACCTCCATTACACCCAAAGGAATCTCCTTTTCATTGATGTTCGCCATAGCTCTCTTCAGGTCCGGACTCGCATCTCCACTGAGTATATTCAAGTTTCTGTCCTAAAACCTAGACATTAACTTTTTATCCGTGATAACGCATTCAACATACTTACCTTCTCATCAACTTCAACGTCTGCATCCTCTTTTCTCTTCTTTTCCGGTGCTGGTGGCATATATTTTAACATTGTTATGACATCTTCGAGGAAAAAGTCTGTAACGAATGACCCATACGACTGATTCGTCGGTTCTTCCCTTCTTTGACTTCCACGTTAGAAGTTTGGACTTCACGAAGACGAAAATAATATATGCTGTCACCATTATTCAACACGCAATTCAAAGGGCTTTACTCAAGCTTTTCTATCTATTCAAGTGTAGAGGGAACATGTAGTTCCGAGTTTCACCGGCGAACAAAGATTAGAGAGGCTGCCAGTCACGACAAGGCAATGATGATCAGGTATACCTGGACCCCGGGATCGGGCCCAACAGTGGCTGCACTGGATCGGGGCAAACTAACATCAGTACCGCCTCAAGCCCGATGACCAGACTCCTTGTAGAAAGCATTGACCGAACAAGTACTCAATGAAACCCATGATCAACGTGAGGAGAGAGGCAACCTGTTTACGGTTCGACCGGTAGTTTCGTTGAAAAACCCTTATCAATCCCCATCAAAAAGGAAGAAATATTATTATGAGCAAAATGGTTTCTTGAACCAAAATAATAATGCATAAAGGACTAGAAGAATCTTACGTTTCACAGGGAACGTTCTTCCCTCCATCTCAATAATGGGACAACCACCGAAGAAATCGATGAACATTTTAGTATCGATTGTCGCTGACATCAGAACTACGCGAAGATCAGCATACTCGCGCAGCATCTCTCGCAAAACAATTAGAATGAAGTCAGTCTAAAACAGAAAGATTGCCCTAAATAACTTTTCAGGTGGACAATAACTTGAAGTAAGTCTTTCTAATGTAAATCAGATATTTATCCAGGTATTGCACTATCGCTGGGATCTCTCAAAACTTACATTCACATCACGCTCGTGGATCTCGTCGATAATTATATGAGATATACCACGTAAACCACTTTCCATCTTTCTAAGAAGCACTCCCACGGTACAGAACAGCACAGCACCATAAGGACGAGGGGAAACGCCATCAAACCTGAAATTCAAATCACAGTTGATATGAAAACGGTAGGCGTGCAGAGGTATCCGTGGAGCTCAATGAACAACCTTTGCTATTTCGAAAAATATCTAATTATGGAAGAACTCGCAAATGTCTACTGCAAGCCCGGGACCAACTTTGGCGAAGGTGTTAAACAAATTTTAGCCCTTCTATACGGGGGACGGGACTTACGTGTGTTCGAGGATGCGCGTGGCAACTTGCGCGGCGAAGTTCGTGACGATTTGTACGACTCCGACGCCAATTTTCGTTGCTCAAACTCGAAGTAGAGTAGTTGAGTAGGGTCAGACGATCCTTCTTACCTACTTTACTTCAAATTTGGGCCCCAATGATAGGCGCTAAAGTCGTTCAAATCGTCACGAACTTCGCCGCGCAACTTGCCGCACGCATCCTTGGGTGCACGTATGTACGCTTACTCCCCTAAGATCGCAGGTACAAAAACGAGTACACCGAGTGATGAAGTTTGAAGAAATCAAACGCATTCTGCGTTATCTCAACACAGAAGCACGCCATCAATAATTCGCCGCTGTTTCTATTTGTAATTCATATCTTACCTAAGAAGTACTATATTTGTACTTGACTGCACAATCACATCGAAACAGCATTCAGCGGCGCGTGGCAGAGCTTTGAGAAGCATGTTTTATGCATGTTTCTTCTACGCGCTCATTACTCCTTGGTTTCGATGTTGACGTTCGATTGGAATGGAGATGAGTGGTCAAAGGGAAGGCTTGAAAGCCCAGTTGGCAATAATAACGGTTACGAAGATTGCTACTCGGAAGGAACCCATGACTATTGGGAAGGCCCCACACGATGTTGTTGTGTACAAATATCACCTATATAAAGCCCAATAAAGACTCAAAAACAGGTTTTGATACCTGGCACTATTCAAATTCTAAAGAAAGGCATTCCAACGAATGTAGAAACTTCGGGTCCCACAATTCAAAGCACAGCCCGTTTGTTGTGAATGGGTGAATGATATTAGGTAACAGCTACCAGCGATAATAACAATATCACATGACGTTTCCGGCCAATCTATCTTCTTTCCTTGAAGGAGCTTGAAACCCACATATCACTCTGCACTTGCACATTGCATGACGCATTACTTTTATGAGTCTTGTGACAGTGTGGATGTCATTGATTGTCCTAAATCTTCAGCAAACCATGCATGACAACTTCATCTCTCATTGGAGCTCTACTGAGCACTGTTCTCATCAGAGGGCTGACGTCAAAAAAAGAGTAAGACCGACGAAAGGGCGGTAGACGACTGCTGCTCGAACAATTGCTACACGGCTTGCCTTACATAAGTGCAGATTGTGGTACTTTTGAAGGTTAATAGAAAGTTAGGTCCATAGTCATTGCCCTTTTTGAAGATAAATTTTTGACGACCCATTACAGTAAAGGTAAACCACCCCTTTTCTGCATTTCGTATATCTACTCAGTGCGAGAAACTGTTTTGAGAACATTTTAGGATAACAGATTCTTTTGATCAAAATTTAATTAAACAGCACCTGACAGCATAGCCAACGGAATCTCCTAGTTCCTCGCCTCTCTCCGCAGCCACTCGCTCTGCCAACGAAATAGCAGATATTCTTCTAGGTTGCGAAACAAATGCGTTGAACTCAGCACCACGATTGCGAAGAATAAAAGATTCTTGTAGGTACTGTACTACCTGTAAAAAGAAAAGGAGTTGAGCAGCTACAATACATGCCCAATCCATGAGGCGTGCTCGTCACCTGCGTGCTTTTTCCACATCCAGTTTCTCCTTTTATTAGCGTGACCCTATTTTCTGCTACGGTACGCAAAATATCCTCTTTAAATTGTAACACCGGTAAGCTCTCTCTAGAGGCTGTCATACTTGGCCTCAGTTGTTTGGATTCCTCCATTTGCTTTAGTTTTGAACTAATCTCGGAAAGTGACATCTGAAAATGCGGAAAAAGAAATTGTAAAGTTCGGCACGATGCAGCCAAAATCCACCGAAATTTCATCAATGAATACTCGACTCACAAAAGCTAATGGCGGCTCGTCTATATTGCTTGCTCGCCAAGGATTCCAATTTTGCATAGGAGGTGCCCAGGAAATGTTCCCTGGAGGCATTACCTGAGACATGAGTTTTAAAATAGAGTCGGGTAAATCGTAATCTACCAAACATCACACCTCTGAATCAGGAAACTGATCTAGTTTGCAATTTGTAAGTAGAGACTTGGGGGCCTCTGCCGTGACATTCTCGTTTGAATCGATGGTAATCGGTTCCACTCCCGAATTTGTTACATAATTTTTCACTCGTTCAGCTAACTCAGCTGGAATCGTAATTGGAATTTCAGGAAGCTGAAAAAAANAAAAAAACATAAACATAGCTACTTATGGTATTTTACAAAACATGCGGATTAAATTTGAAATCCCTTGCCGTTGATGCCGCGGTCTTCTTGCGTTCGCCCTTGAACTCTGCCAAAATTCCAAGATGGAACAACTGTCGAACTATCCCCATAGAACATCCGCTCTCCGCAACCTTTTTCGAGGATCCTTGACCGCGACCGGACAACGCTGAAGGCTTCTTGTTTCAATCAATGACAGCGACCAACGTTGTCAAACGCGAAAATGTTGCAATGATCAAACATCGTGACCCGATTTTGGTGAACAACAAAAAATTTTATTTAAGTTTAAAAAACGTACGTTTTCGAAGCTGCGCCACGTAGATTGTCGCCTCAGCAACATAAGTTCTAAAAGAATGGACTGACAAAATTCATCTCGCTCAAATTCAAAATCCATACAATTCTCATGACGAAAAACGCTCAAACCAAGAACGAAAAACATGGAAAAACTTTTGCAGAAAATGAGAAATTATTATTGGTTTTTTGTCGAACCTTCTCCATTCCTGCAAAAGTCTACGAAGGATCTGAATGGGTCCCTAACGCCACATACGAAACTTATTCCTAAAAGAGCTTGATCCCTTTTTATGGGCACAATTTACTTTTATTATGTATCAAGGCAGCCTACGTGCATGATTCTTATTCCTTCTATAATATCTCTACCATTATCGCTTAAGGCGAAAAGTGCTAAATTTTCTTTATACACAAGAGCTCAGATTTTCTTTTTACACATTAATTGAAAAACTGGCACACAAACTTTTCAAATGATATTGAACAAACCATCAAATAAAGTTATTTCATTAATTATCACTTCAACTACTAACAATTTTGACTGAACTCAAAAATCAGAAAAATTTCTTCCATTAACTATCTGTCTGAAGCCAAAATTTTTCCAGCTGAAAGTTTGTACTGACGTTTTCGTTTCATCCGAAGACGATCAAGGGTTTAAGCCTCTACACTTTCGAGCCATTTTAGAGGTGCACGNTTCTGAAACGCGACATCAAACCTTCGGGTTACCAATTTCGTAATTACAACCTTGCACCCGAGGCGAATGATTTTGGCTGCTGATTTATGCTGACCCGCTACTTACCCCTACCCGCTCTTTCGCCCATCCTGTCTAAGAAGTGTTGGCAATTTGATTTGGCTTTCCATACGGACCCTTTGCCACAGTTTCATAGCATTTACCAAATAATGTTCGACTTTTCAGTCCACTTTTCCGCTCACAAAACCAGGTTGCAATTTCCATAAACTAGGGCGTTGTGTGAAGAGGTACGCTTCGCTTCAATAGGGGGAGCCTCCTCTTATACATATTCTCCCGCTCTTAAGCTCTTCAATATGGAACAATTCATGCTTTCTTGAGTTTGTCAAGTTGATAACCAGTATCCTCCCACTCTCGTGCTGTTTTCTCAATCTCATTCTTTTTCTGCTGTAACAGGATAAGAATGTTATTATTATGGTTATTATTATTATCGGATATTTGACTGGGCACGTTACAACACGATCAAGACAACGTCCAATTCACTGAAGCTCAAAAGACTTGTCCCATTCCAGACAATCTCACACTTTACAAATATCCGTGATCTATTTTAGATAAGCATGCTTTTCTTAATTTTTGCGTGGTTTTAACGATGTGACCGCAAAAAGAAAGTGCTTTATACCTGCAATTATTGGCTTCCTTCAATTGGGTATTGTATGCGATAGGTGGTTGACGAGTTTTTTGCAGGAATTCGTTCAAGGCTTTCTTACTATTTTCCATGGTCCAACCACCATGAATTTCTGCCTTCAGATCGATAGACTCAGACTGAAAATTGGTTTTGTTATGCGAAAAGGAGAGCGGACATCGCACTTAATATGTCCATCTGCTTAACTTGTATAATCAGAAAATCTAAAAATCTAAGAAGGTATAGCATCAAAGAATTCTAATTGGACGCAAAACGGTTCTTTATCCATTATTATAGCGAATGAGAATATCGTTACCTGAGCAATCTCTTCCGCTTTTTGCGTGACATACTTATCGTGAGCTGACTGTGAAGCACCATCCCATTTAGTACCATTGGCACTCTGAAATTTAAGTTAGTCAGTCAATTAGACAAATGGACGATACACGCATCAGTCACAAAGCACAGTACTAGTGAACACTGTGAAGCAGGGACAAGTTTGAGTTGCGATAGGCTGTATTTGTTCGCATGGGTAAAGTCGAGTTCATCCATTTGGCAAAATGTCGAATAAAAAGAGAGAACTCGATGAAACCTCAATGGATTACAAGAGCCTTTTGTTGACAATATTAAAGACATAGTCCACGATAACTTTGAGGAGTCAAAAAGTGGAATTGAAGGATGGGAACAGTTCATCAGTAGTGATAAAGTGAGAAAATTTGCCGATTTAGAGAAAAATATATCTCTTCAAAAGTAGAGATCATAGAGTTTGGACAAGATTACCATGACGGAAATAACTTGAAGTGGTATTACAAGATTTCACTTTTCGCAATTACGCAGAGAAGTGACTACATGAAGCCAGAACAGTATAGGACTACCATCATTGATCCCCCAACATTGGCTTCCTTGGATTGGCACAGCCTCTACAATGCTGGTGAAACTCGTCCGAGAATACACAGATACAACTTTTGAGACTTTATACCACCCTACCTAGGCCGTTTCCGGGTACGACAGCGCCACATAGGACATACGGCGGTCCACAAATTCATTCGAGCGGGATTTTCCAAAAGTCATTTTCCCGTGAACTGTGCATTAAAAGGCATGGATTGATATGACTACGGTGTACATAATGTTGGTGGGCGATATGAGAGTTGGGTATCGAGAAGTTTTCCGTTTCAAGATGGCTATCAGCCCTCAATTCATCAATTGCGAGGTCGAATTCCAGAATGACCTTGTTCTTTATCCTTCAACTTCGAAATCAATGAGGAAAGAAGACACTACACAAATGAAAGCAGTTATCCATTAATGAAGTGTTAAACTGGTTCTCACACAGCTGGAATGCACTCACACTTTGTCTTTCATCAAATGAGCTCTCTTCGTCCGCTTCTTTTTTGAAGAAAGAACCAGGTGCATCACCAAAATCGAGCGTTTCTGGAGCAGCTGAAGTAGCTTGCAATGATGACGCCTAGAAAAAACAAAATCGGCGCGTTTGTATGAGTAAAGGTTAACTAATGAAAGAAAGACAACGTAGTGTTACGATTCACAAGAGTTTACCTCTAGAGCCGGTACTTCCGACGCTTTGAGCAAGCCTTGACGAACAAGGTAATTGCAGAAGTCCATGGCAGCATTCGTACCAGCATCCTGTAATCAAATACACTGGTAGTGGTATTTTTTGGGAGTTCCTCTACACTGGGTTTAAGGTTTGTACCGTTCTCGTAATATTGCAGGCATACATACCTTTGTCAAGTGAGCCGCCTATATTATGGTGAGAATCATAAAACATTTCTCCACTACATATTGTGCTATTAAGGTGGAACTAATGAAAGTAGACTTATCAAAACACTTTTCCCTCAAAACAAAACTCTTTGCAATTCTGAAATCTCGACAACACTGGAAGTACTAAACGTTAATGCAACAAGCAATGCTTAGGATGAATGAGCAAATAGCAGCGCGAATAGCAATAGAAGGGCCTCCTAGGCTAGGAGAAGGGCCACCTATCAGATCACACCTCCGAAGCGATTAGGTCCATTGAATAACAGTAAACGCACGTAAATTCTACCGATGCAGTCTTCAGCCTAATGAAGATAACTTCGAGTGCTGATGACTTTCAGGTAATTGCTACTACATTACTGCATGACCACATTGGATGATAAAGGATCCATTTGAGAAGGATGCACAAGGGTGCCGAATAAGCAGCACAGAAGGCGCGACAGTTACCCATGCCAATTGGTAGATACGGATCGAATCTGTCTTTGGAGAAGCCTAACGTGAACAGAACCTAACCCACACCGATGCTCCTAAAAATCCGGATACAATGTTTCAGTGATGAATGGTCTTGCGTGACATATCTCTTCCCGGCATGGAATAGAACTAGAGCACACTATTTTAGGGAAGGACACGAGAAATACTAATCAAACAAGAAAATTTGCATGATTGAACGCAGTTTCCCGTTATTCTGCGTGAAACGCTTGATCACAAAGCTTAAGAACATATCTCATAAAAAAATAAACGATTCTAAAAAAAAGAAGTGTTTCGATTTGAAAGGGATTCCGGTGGGGGTGATGTGTACATACCGAGAGGCTCAACGAACGAGGTTTCGAGGTTTGACCGACAAGCGATTAGACTTAAGTCTGCGGTAAGGTAAGAGTGCGAGCTATTGATGAAGGTGTTTCTGATTTTGACGTTTTCAAATACATTCTTTGTGTATTTTGATGAGAGAAGCATTCGCAGTGCCAGGAAATGGAGCCTCGCAAAAATGTCGCCTCTGAAAAAAATGGCCCAGGCGAAAATACAGCCCCAACTAGATCACTAAATCACTCTAATCATCCTTGTTATAATTCAACTTGACCCTTTGCAAAAGGTGCCTAATGATTCCTCCCCTTCGTAATCTTCGTGGGAGAGCAAGCGAGGTGGAAATGGCTGCTGCTGGAATTTTTGAGATAGGCTCGGGTTTTAACAGCATTACCTTCCGACAATACCGACTATACTGCTTTCTGACCATGAAAGCAGCTTTCCAAAAATAAAAGTCTATTCCTTGAAAAGTTCAGAAGAGTACCAGTACAACGGATACCAAGATTCCCGCAAACAATCTTGAACGCCGAGAGCCACACCTACTCTAAGGAAAGTGCTCTCACACAGGGGAACATGCAACTTCAGAATGGAACTAAACTAAAGCCCCAAAGTAGTCATTTCTACTTCGAGCAGAGACTTCTAGAAGGAGGATTCCTCAAGTGTTTTCGCAGTATGTCAATTATTATTATAGTTAACTATGAGCCTTTAAACATGATTAGGCTTAAAGACACATTTGTTGTCCGTGAACCATCCACTGCATTCAGGTGGGTTGAATAGATGATCAACGTTCAAAGTAAATAAACAGCATTTAAATGAATTGTACCTTCTTATTGAGTGAGTTACCCAGACCAACATAGCTATGGCCTGGCACGCGTAACTCGCATTTGAACCTCTGAGTGCCTCCACGTGTTATAGTGCTGATTGAATATTGTGGTGCACCGATTTTATTCTTCCCAAGCCAACCATAGAGGAAACCTTTGAGGTCCTTGATATCTTTGGCTTCCATATCCTGAAACAACGTTCCTTAATTCTCTGAATTTACGAAAATTACTAGTATTATTGACCAGTTGATGACTAGAAGGAAGGGCATCTTGCAAATACATGTACATGGTACATTTACGCATAAAGAAGTGAAACACGAAATCCTATAGACTAACAGGTAGGAGCACCGTCCGTTCTTATAAGCACCCTATTAGGAAAAATTTCCAATTAGGGATCACCCTTTCACGTTCTCCTCTAAATGCAGAGAAAAACCAGAAGCATTGGAAATCCAAAAGCTTGATGCCAAATGTAAAATCGACTGGCTCTGCGCAAGACACCGACGCGAAATGCACGCAGCTGCGTGAAAGATTTTAGCGTTCATGAGTGGGGCGCGGGTCTGAAGTAGAGCAGACTAGCGCGGCCAGCTGATTGCGATACCCTTTGGAAGCCCCATACTAATATTTCAACCTAACGAGAATTCTCGGACGCGGTCAGGAGTTTTTTCGATTGGAACGCCGCAAATGTAGGGCAGCTGATTGCAAACTGGCAGTCTTTTGAAGAAACGATTCTGAGCTGAGAAACGAAGCCTTTCCATTAGGCCTCAGGAGGGGAAGAGCACAAGAATGGGTGCGTTGGTTGAAGACAATGCTCTTTTCCGAAATTGAACCTTAGAGCGCAGAGAACGAGAGGGGTAGCTGACTTTCAAGCCCATAATGGTTCTTGGGAAAGCTTCTTAGCCGAGATTATATAGTTTTTCACAGAAAAGAGGAAGGTACTTGGTCGCGGTGACCATCCAAGATGAGATGTATACCGTCGTGAGTGTTCTCGAAGCTGTACTTTTACCTAAGCTTTAGGGGGAAGGAGCACCATGGTATGTGAGATGATTCTTCGCGCAAAAAGCTGGAATGGTTTAAGATCGGAGCATTCAATTTACTCACCTACTTCGACACTCCTTCCCGCTCAAATGCACTGTTCACGATGAATTTAGGGTGCCCTTTTTTGACGGGAATTGATAGAACTACTCTAGGATAAAGCGATAACAACGAAAAAAAGATGAACAAAGAGAAATACAAAGGGTCAAAAAAGAGCAGGAAAGGGGGTTGGACGAGTTTCACATTGAAAGAACGGCGGTTAGGGAGTGTTCAGGCGAGTGAACGAAGGCGATGCAAGTCTGCAATTGTAGACAACACACCCAAACATCTGATCGGATTTCTCCCTGCTATTATTCTGCTGAACTGATACTATTCTCCTCATCGACCGAGGGGCGGGAACGCGAACCACGGCAACAACGGGGCTGCCACTATGCCCTGGACGTCGAGATTGGGGGAGTGACAGGGTCCCTTCTACAACCCATGGGGCCGCTGAGTATTAATAGTTAAGAACTCAATACCTTTCTTATCGTGAACGGTGCCTTTAAGGCTTACAAGGGAAGGATACTTAGTTGTGTTATATTACTGCGTCGAATATGTAGTCGAACCGAACACCATGATAGGCTGTGCAACGGTGGCGCAGATAGTAGGACGGTGGACTTGTAGACATTATATGATAGTTCGGGTTCTTGAAGCATGTGCTTATTCCGTTTTTCATGAAACGTGCCCTAAACCATCTGAATCCTCATGTTGACGTTTTACCGAACTCTCTCAGATTTCAGGGATAGTGGAAAATTTCAAAGTGTATGAAATCTAAGGAGTCTTCTCGCCCTAACAAGCTAAGGGTGTGTCTCCATTCAAGCAAAGGAGAGTTCCAGACAAACGGTCGAAATGAGCCAAAGAAACTTCAGGAAAAGATGTGTTACATCTTTCGTTGGATCAAAACGTTTTTCGATATATTACCAGGCCAAGGTTTGGCAAAATGGTGTTCTTCCATTTGTTAGAAGACTTAGGTCCCCGCGACATAACGTGAACATCACATAGGAAGGAACAGGAGGTAAAGAAAACTTTTTGTCTATACCTTTTGATGCTATGTACGACATGCTCGTTATTAACAGCGAGGAAGACAAGTCCGTGCAAGACGATCACAATGGTCCTCTCTGGTCACCCGATGATAAAAACGACTACGGACCCATCAAATCGCAATGTAAACCTCCTTCCTTCCCGGGAATTAAGAGCTTGGAATGTCTACGATTACGAAGGCTATCTGAGGTATTGAGTCTCTCACAGGCCCAATCAAACAAGCCAGCCTGGGAGGCCACGGATTGCCGTTCCTGAAAACGACAGGGAGATCATTTAGGCATCGACCAAGGTTCCAGACGAGCATCTTCCGACATAATGGCCGAAATATCGACGACGGCGACTTCGCTACCATCTAGAGGTACCATCAAAATCGTCTGTAGGATGCTGGATTATATGGAAGAAGACTTGTGGAAAAATATGTGGTTCTCTGGAAAAAGACGAACTCGACTTCAATGGGCGCGTAAGCACGTTCTCTGGACCTTCAACCATTGACGCGAAGTCTTCTAGAGCGACTAGTCGAAGATTGTTTTGATTGGTACAGATGGCATTTTGTTCGTAGACGACCTTTTGAAATACAAGTTTCGAACCCTGTGTACCTATTGAAAACTCTCAAGCATGGTGTCAGTTCATATTGCTTTGGGGGTGTTTTCCAGGTCCAGGCATGAGGCCCTGACAGAGAAAGCATTCGATGTAATTCAGATCACTTTTTTAGCAGATTTGGAAGCGAAGATAGCAAAAACCCAATTGGACTGGAACTGGGATGTTGATAATGGGGAAGAAAACTATGTCCCGCCTTAGTGACACAAAAAAACTTTCTGCAAAAAATGATAGTTAATTAGTAAAGGAGAAACACTTATTGGGGTAAAAGGAGGTCGAAGAGATGGATAGATCGCAAAGAAGGGCAAAGGCCTCATCTCTTCAAATTCGAAAAAAAAACATGCTTAAGGTAGGGAACATTGGATACATTCGCAGTGTGCCCACTACGTTGACGGCGTTGGCAAACACCAACACCGTATACCGTATGTTGTCGTAACCTACGACATTATACGGTATACACGGCGAACGCCCTCCGAACAGCACCAACCTACCAGAAACGCTGCTATACAATATAGCGAGCTATTACCTTGGAGCACTGATTTTGATTTTTTGGAATAGAACCAAATCAGCGTGTTATGCGCAGGCAATCGTTTGGCGGAGTGAACGAAAAAGTCCTGCAGTCGAGGAGGGTCAGTATATAAAATGAGCCGAGAGTGAAATTGGTTTTGAGCACTCCGATCTTATTTTGTATATATAGCTGACCAGTTCGAGTCAATCATTATAACCTGTTTTATTAAATACACCAGGTGGAAGGGTTCCGACCGATTCGTTGCATAGATGACAGACCGCAGCCTACCTCCCTTTGCCATGTAGGAGTTTCAGAAAGTAGAACGAGATCGTGGATTGTTGTTTATGTAATCCATGTTGGACATCGGGCAACAGCTGTTTTCTCCTATGAAATGTGATTTTGAGACAGAGTAGCGCATCGCTTCACTAATTAAGGGGAAGGCGATTGAGTTAGAAAGCATCTCTGATACCCCTTCTGAAGATGTCAGGTACCTCTTCAAAAAATTTTTGTTAACTGTAAAAGATGTTAAATCCTCAGCGACCTTTCCGAGAGAAACTTGATGTTGTCCAGAGAAGAAGAGATGCTGTTTGCCTATTACTGTGGAGCCCCATAAACTTGTCACTACTCGAATCGATCTACTCAAATGTATTGAAAGTTCCAGGCGGCACGCCAGCAGTATCACTGAATTGGTATTCTCATAAATTGATTTAAAGTATACAGCGAACACAAACCAGCGATCTTCTCCCAATCATCAGTGATCACTGTCTTCTTGGAATACTGATAGCTGATAAAGAGTTTGCCACAAACTTCCGCAAAACTTGGGCTTTCTGCGAGAAACTCAAACAGCAAATAACTTGAACTGTTGGTAACATTATACTGGTGTAACGGTTCAGCACCACCCCCTTCCAACAGAAGCTTTTTCTCCACTTCCGAATTGCCAACGTACACTTTCACGTTCGATAACTGGTGAGTTTATATGTTTAGAATTTCGAATGGTTCTTACTGTTTTGAGTCACATGTCATCACCTAGCACGTTCTTGAGGCTACGCCGAGGCTTCGGGAACTCATAACTTGCGGCAGGACCAAGTTGACCCCATCATTCGGTGTCTACACGAAGGCTTGACATCTGGGCAAGTTTCCGAAGTTCAAGGGGTGTCTGCTAAATGTTTACAGACGGTTTCGAAGAAGTACAAGGACAAAGAGTCGACTGAAGTCAAAAAACACCAAGGAGCAGCAAGAATGACGTCTCGTTTTGTCGACAGAAACATTTTGTGGCTTATAAGGAACAATCCGCGTCTTACTGCAGCCGAGATTCTTCGCGAAATACCGACGCCTCAGGGACCGAACCCATCCATGAGCGCTGTAGGGCGGTAGGAGAGAGGCGGGTCCGTTTAGACGTCTTCCAGTGAAGAAACCACTGCTTTCTGCCAGGAATCGCGAAGCACCATTCGATTGGGCTCATGCTCACAAGAAATGGGCCGTTTTGCAGCGGCGTCAAGTCATCTGGAGCGACAAATCGAAGTTTTTGGCGTTCAAAAAGAACGGAAAAGTTTGTGCGGCGTTCTGTCGGTACCAGATACCGCCCAACTACCAGCTGCCGACCATGAAGGGTGGCGGAGCTTTGGTAATGGTTTACGGCAGCTTCTGTGGCAAAGGAGTTGGGCCCCTCGACCGGATGGAGGGTAAGTTGAATTTCAAGATGTACCTCAACATCATAGATACTATTATCTGGCCTGTTGTTCGCAGTGTTGCTCGTAGTCGAATCATTTTCCATCAGGACAATACCCAAAACACAAAGCGAAGCCGCTCACTAAGTGGTTCCGCGACAACAACGTCCCTCTGCTGCAGGGCCCGTCGCAGTCCTACGATCTGAATGGCATCAAACAGTCAAACGAATGAACAAAAATGGGCAAGTTGTGAATTAACTCTTATGAGTGGCCAGTTGTGCATCTCTTGTATTTTAAACGAACAATTATTTCGGAGTGGATTCATATTACACCATACACAATCACTATCACTTTACTCCAATGTATTCTGTCGTCTATCCCTTTAAATGGAGTCTTTGTTTGTGCCCACCCCAAGCAAATCCATGATCCACGGAATGACAGGAGATACAGGTGATAGGCGAACTTGTTTTCCTAAAGTATCACTTGGGAAGAATACAACGCTTGGAATCTCGCCTGTGTAGTCTGCACATCTCACATCAGTCTACCCAGACAATTTTTTCATCACTCCAGGATATAAATGTGACGGGTATAATAATATCAATTAGTTCCATACAGGAGCACTTAAAGTCGCATATCAATGATGA